ATAATCTTTTTTCTTACACTAAATGAATGAAAATAAAATTATAAGGAATGAATTTAATAGCTACCCAATTTATACGGTATAAAGTGGGTTGGAACAGTTAACGCTTTTATTTAATTCAATTCAATTTATTGATTCACCAAACATGTTGGCATTATTTAAACCGCTTCGCGGTTTATAAAGCGTAAACTGCCCCAATCCACTTTATACCGTATAAATTGGGTAGCTATTAAATCCATTCCTTGAGTAAAACTTTAATCGCCCATTGTGGCCCAATGTACCCTAGGCACGGTTTGATTTGAAGATACTTGAATCTGTACTACCTGAAGATGCTTCCATTTAAACATCACTAATCACGGGCCTACTGCTGCTTCTCAGTGGCGGATCCAGAAATTTCAGAACGGAGAGGGTGGGGGTGCGCGGTTCAGTACTGTTTTTGAAAAGCAAAAAAGAAGTCATTTGTATGTAAAGGTGTGTTACTGTATATGTAAAATAAATTATGAAATTTTAGCTATAGACTAAATTAAGAGTATAATTATTATACAAGTTTTTTACCAAAACCACAAAAAAATCAAACCGCCAAGCGGGGGTTGGGGGGGGGGGGGGGTTGCGCCGGTGCTTCATCTGTCTTTGGCTTTTGTAGAAGATTTTCTGTATATATTCCTATGTATAACTTTGATTGCCCATTGTGGACTTATCCTACCCATGGGGTTATGATTTGAACAAAATTAATTTTGTTTTTGTTTGTATGTATAATGTCCCTCTCGAGAATTTTTCATTCATATGGAGACGTAACCACTTGCCGGTGGAGGGCTGCAAATTTAGACCTATACTTGGCACACAGGGTCATTGAGGGATCTTTTACGTACCAGCACCTCAAAATTGAACGTACGCTATGTAATGAAGCTTTCACATTAGTATCTTCTGACCCAGTAGTTCTTGGAAAGATTTTGAAAGATTTTTTTTTTTTCAAATATTCTATGAAAAACTTTGATCACCTTTTGTAGCCACACCCTTCCCCCTAGGGACATGATCTGAATTAAACTGAATCTACACTTCATAATGAACCTTTCACATAAGTTTCAACTTTTCTGACACATGCAGTGGTTCTTGTGAAGATTTTTAAAAGATGTCACTAAATTTTCTGAACTCCTTCCCTTGAAAGAGGACATGGCCCTTCATTTGAATAGACTTGAATCCCCTTTATCCAAGATGCTTTGTGACAAGTTTAGTTGAAATTGACCCAGTAGTTTTTGAGAAGAAGCTGAAATTGTGAAACGTTCACAGACGGACGGACGGTCAGACAAAACGTGATCAGAAGAGCTCACTTGAACTTCTAGTTCAGGTGATCTAAAAATTAACCCCAACGCCAATGAAATCGGCACATGATTGTATATATAAGAATAACGCAAAAAATAATTTCCAAATAATCATTACTACTGAACAAAAAAACAACAAAAAACTAATACATGTACATGTATTCAATCTCCATGCATATATTAAGAAAAAAAGAATAGGCTGACTTATCATATATCTGATGAATTACGGTACCTTGACATACATGTATCATAGTGATGTACGTCAATTCTGGACAAAATTTTTTGACCAAAAAGTTTTCTTCCTACAGTATTGCTAATAATACTGTCTGTCTCCTCCGTGCGTGTGTGTGTTTGTCAATCTCTTTTTCCTTTCTCAAGTAAATATTCGTCAAAACAATATATCGACGACAATATATGCCGACCTTGACTGCACATATTGTCGCCGACGACAATATGTGCCGATGCTTGACTGTACATTTTGTCGTCCATTATGCAGGAGGAAAATAAGGCTCGTCTCGGTACATATTGTCGCCGGCGATAATATGTACCGATGGACGACAATGTGTGCAGTGAGGGTAGGTACATATTGTCGCCGACGACAATATGTACAAAACGACAATATGTACCGTCACAAGTATGCAGTTTCTGTATTTTGCAAATAATTCAACCTTTATTATGTGCAGAGATTTATCTGTTGTTGTTTTTTTTTTAATTTTGAAGCATGTGGTAATAATTACGCACAAAAAAATACTTAGTACTCGTCTAATGATTACACGTTGTATTACCAGGAAATACTTTACAATGATATCGGAGACTAATGATGATGATTCAACATATAGCAAATTTCAGTGCAACAGCAGGCATACAGTCCATATCGTAACAAAATATGTGTATACGATCCATAACATAAACGTAAATTCAAATGCATTAATTGATTTATATATATGACTAATGTTGAAAAATTTCGACATAAATAATAAATTCCAAAAATATAAACAAATCGTAAGTTTTCTTTGGTGTTGAAATTTTCAATTTTGTGCCATTTTCAATATAAATCTATATAAATTTTGGTCCACATTTTTTGAAGTTATTATAAAATCCTCTAAAAATTTTCAGATTTACTCTGGCAAACATTATTTATCTATAGGAACATGGATCAGTTGATATTTTGCTGATTTCTTCAATAAAAATAAAGATCATTATTTAAACATGTACTATATTTTACTATAAACAGATTCTTAGATATAAAGCTTTTTGACATTGGCGAATTTAAGTTTGAATAGAAGGAAGTTGAGAATAGCGGTATGAGGTCACTGAAAGCATGGCATAGAATAAGAATCTTGTTTGATTCCTTTGATGAATTTTCGGTTCTCAAAATCCTCTCTTTATCGAATTAAGTCAATAAATATTTACTTCACACGGACTTTTACGTCTGTGAAGAGTGATGTATTAGGACAGCTACTCCTTTTTTATAACTCCATTATAAAAGTTATCATCGTCAGTAATGTAAATAATTTCCAAAACAATTTTTAGCGAAAGCCGCTACCAGTGTATGACATGTGTCATAATAGTTATGTAGAATCAGTCATGTATAGCGCTTACTTAAGTGATTAAAGTACTACTGCGGGACGTGGAGACCGGTGCTTCGGATGAGACCGTATAAACCGATGTTCCATGTCGCAGTAGGTTCTGGCACGAAAAAGTTCCCTCACTGCTCTATTTCCCTGAGTGCCGAGTATAGGTCAAAATTTGTAGCCCTCCATCGGCAAGTGGTGGCGTCTCCATATGAGTGAAATATTCTCGAGAGTGACTTAAACAACAAACAAACAAACTTATAATATTAAATTCCAACAGATTGTTGAAAACCAGATATCCGATATATATTGTTGATGAGAAATTCAAATATTTTTTTTTTTTTTAATTTGAAACTCGGAGTAGCTGTGAGTAGAATCGGAATGATTATTTACAAAATAAGTTTGCTGATGACCAATGACAAGGTATGCAAACTTAGGTTTTCCATATTTGTTGAAGAAACAATTATGTCAAAATACCTGGTCTTTAATTTATCTTTGGGAATGTTATTTACCCCACCTCTGTTAATTTTTTGATGAAATCCTGGCTTACGATTGGTTGAAGTCTGTCACGTGAAGGGGGTGTATTACTTATACCTAGTCGCTTGAAAATCAATACATGGTCGATACGGAGTTATCGTTCTTTTGTAACGTTAGAACAACTCGAGTTCACGCGATTTGCCGAGTGTCTGTTGACAATGTTACAGTAAACTAATGTAAGTAACGAAGATGGAACCTTTTTTTCCTTTACTGAAAGTCTTCAAAACTTCAGTACGTTATAACAGCACAAAACAATCTCAAAACAACATTACGTCACACAACGTGACGTCATAATAGGCATTGTATGAGTGATGAAACATATATAGAGTGAGGAAAACAATTCTACAAACCACAGACAATGCATAAATATTTTATCGGTGGGGTAAATTCGTTACATAGTTTTTTAGTGACAGGGTACGGGATGATACCTGGTTAGTAAATTTCATACCTGGCTCGGCTTCGCCTCGCCAGGTATGAAATTTACTAACCAGGTATCATCCCGTACCCTGTCACTAAAAAACTATGTAACTAATAATATGCCCTCATCACCTGATTTTATAGGTTCTGTCTCCCATTTGGTTCAATGCGCAAGAACATGTTCTTCTTACTAACAATTTCTAAAACGGGACAGGCTATTGACAAATAAGTTGATTATACAAGGATATCAAAAACCTGGTTTAAAGTCAATATTTCGCAAACACTGTGATCGACACAATGACCTTGATTACAAATAAAATATGTTTTTGTTGAGTGTTGGTTGTCCTTCATAAAAATTGTCCTGCCTTTATTTTCACTGAATTTTCCGTGCACCCGATCACGACAAGGAGTATATGTTTTGTGTGACCGATCTACAGCGGATGCTTCCTCCTCCATGGCACCTGATCCCAGCGTTTTTGAGGTTGTAGAATGTTTGAATGATCTCATAAAGTGAAGTGACACAAAATGAGTAATGCAGTAAGTCTTTTAATAATGCGTTAATTCATTACAGGAATATTGAAATGAGTTTTAAAAGGAAACTGTCATTTTCCGGGACTTTACTTCAAAGACTGTTGCTTCTCTTGGAGTTTTCGAATGAAGAGATCGAAAAACCTCTCTTTCACATAAGGTTGATCTTTTACCAAATGCAAATGCTGGTAATAGTGCTATTAGTGTCTCCCCAGGCGTTGCACCAACAATTGTTGCAATTGCCGTTGCACCGGCTGCTATACCGGTGGTTGCTAATGCTGGTCTAATATCCACTTGCGGCTGTACATACACATGACTTTGTGCTAGATTTGTTTGATCTAACTAAAAAATGTGCTTGTTTCATTTTATACGTTTCCTTTCCGTGGTCATATAAGAGCTGAATTCTTTTTTATCAAACAATAGAAAACCTACGTACTACACATGCTACGTACATACATGTGATATTATCTACTTGTACAAAATTCATTGTAAACTCACATGCTTTCTCAAAGCACGTGTCAACTTGTGCTATTTTAAAGCAATCGTCTGAATTTGCTCTACCATCAGGGACTATCGTTAATGGATGTCTGACCTGACTGACAACACCAATACCACATGTTACCTAACATCGTGTAAGTCCTCCCAGTCAGATATCATACCAGTGTGGTCTTAAAAATTAAAGATACATGTTCATCAATCATCAACTCTCAAGTAATGGTAACTATTACTTTATTATGCTTGTAAAAATAAGTTGCATGCAAGTATTCATTTTAATACTGAACTTCTTTAACTACATGCATATACACTTTATATCAATGATCATAAATGAGATATTTACTGCAGTATCCGCATGTCTGGGCACAGTTTTGTACTGACCATACTATGCCATTTTTAATGATTGATTTTTTTGACAGTTTCGTGATTTATCATGGCAGGACTCCCCTCTAATGCTGCCAGCAAAAAGTGCCACTGTAAAAAAAAAAGCTTAGAACACAGAGGCAAGTAAAATGTTGCAAAGCTTCTTAATATTTGCTAAAACGTTTTAAATTATTTAAGTCTCGTTTGTTTATCATAACCAGCAAATACATTCTAGCCAAATTCTTTGACCTCAATGCTTTATTTTTTTTATATCAAATACACCTTTAACTTTCCCGATATAGTGCGAAAAGCTTCCTAATAAACGCAAAATATTTCATACATTAAGTGAAATAGAAACTAAATTTAGGTAAATTGAGAGGAGATATTCACTTAAAAGCTTTAAATGCTCTTAATACTCCTCAATGAGAAATTTAATTCAATCATAATTTAGTAGAGTAAAAGTAATCTGCCCTTAGATGCAATACAAAATGGATCGGAGATAAGCAGGGTATTGAATAATTTGAAATCAAATCAAAAACTATTAACGAAAGTCTTCAGCAACTGAAAATCATTTTGTCAAGTATTTCCCAATTATTGGTAAGAGCAACAGTGATTCTGTTCTTCAAACCTTGTAGTCTAAAAGATACATATTTTTTTTCCTTGAAAAGAGTGAAGATGTTTACACATTTAGACCCTTAAATGTGAATAACATGTATATAAAAAGGAGATGAAGATCACAAAACATTTAAAAATTACATCATCATTATCTTAACAGGTCATCTTACAACTTCAAAAAATAGTTTATACTATAATTAAAAGTTTGTTATGCAGTTAGAAGAAGAGGATAATGCAAATTGTTTGGCATATTTTCGAAATGAAGTTTTTTACGCAATCAATGTCATGTTTCAAAACTCCTTTAAAAAAAATCGAAAGAAAAATAAATATGAAAAGAAACCATTGACATGTACTTTCACATGTAATTGACCGATGATATATGCATTAAGAACCTTTGATTATTCATGACTTTTGTTTTCTTACCTGCTACGAAAATGACAATCACTTGCATTTCTCAGTTTCTGGTCTTTGATAGCACCGTTCCAAACATATACTATTTTCAAAATTTATCAAAAACACCTTTCGACCGTTTATCGCCTAACGAAGTGGAGGAGGTATCAGGAGGTCAAAATGTTAGTGTCCTAACAAAAAATATTATTATACCTCCACTGTAATTACTCTATATAAAATTAATACCATAAAACTGTCTATTTCCACGAGAAGAGACTATTTCCCTCATCTGAGGACTACTCCCTGGAAAATCAGAGCTACTCCCTGGGACTACTCCCTCATGAATATTTATTAGTAATTTTAACCAATCAAAGTGTTCAGTGGGCGGAGCGTTTAAGAAATCTCGAGTCTGTGACGTCATGTTATTAGCAATGTAACTATGACGTCAAAACATTTCGACATGCGATGTCAAAATCATACTTGGATTCTAGCGAAATGAAGGCAACGATAATTCTACGAAATGTCAGTGAAAATACTTTTTAAAAATAATTTAATTGTTTTTTGACACGAAGCATTACTTATAACAATGTGTTAAACCGCATGTATTTGTGATTTTGCCTCTACATTGTTTTTTTTTTTAAATGTCGGAATGTCTGGTGAAAAAATTAAATCGTCTATGATTGTTTCGGTATAATAAAACAGTTATGGAATGGGAACTCGGGAAATAGCAAATTTATGGTTCCCCGAGGGAGGAAACTATTTCCCTCGGCGGCTTCGCCGCCTCGGGAAATAGTTTCCTCCCTCGGGGAACCATAAAATTGCTATTTCCCTCGTACCCATTCCATAACTGTATACTATAGTTAACTATAGTTTACTATAGTAAATCAAAGTGATCACTATAGTGTTAAAGTGATCACTATAGTAAATCAAAGTTTTTATAGTTATCACTTTTGTAAATCAATGTGTCAAAGTTATCACTATAGTAAATCAAAGTTTTCATAATGTCAAAGATATCACTATACATGTAGTTAACTATAGTAAACTATAGTTAACTATAGTATTTTTGTTAGGGTGAGCGCTGCTAAGTTTCCCACAAAAGACAAAAGTAAGAAATAAAGTTTATCTAGTGCAAGAAAATTAAAAAGACAATTGTTCTTATCAAAACTTTTTAATTATCAACCTAAATGATCCGTTAATTTACAGTGGAGAGATACAAGAAAATGTTTTACTTTATTATTTGTATTGAAAGTTGGATTTTCTTTGTGATTATTATTATCTATACATATGTAATATCCTATTTTCAACTACAAAATCAGTTGATTAAGGACGGTATAAAGTTTTTAAGATCATGACATGCAATATCTGCCATTTTTTGAATGGTTGTTTGCCAGAATGTGGAAGATAAAGTATAATAAATGTTAAATTCTAAGGATACACAAAAATAAAAGAATGTTCAAAGGGATTGAGTATACATGACGAAACACGAGTTATTCTCGAGAAAATTATATGTAAAGATTTACTGGGAATTTTCATGATTGTCTTTGATTACCACTGTACGAGGTTTGTTTAAAATTACACTAACACTGATATTTTCTCTACCAAACGTCAGATGGCAATGAATTTTTACAAATCTTCTGCTTCAAGATTCTGATAAATTTTGAATATAAAAGAATTTTGCTAACAATATTGTTGTAAAACGGTGGCATATATTGGCCCCTGTGTACAACTTATATTTATAAAGATTATATAGACATAAAAGCTAATTACATTAATAAGCAAGATAATTATGTCGACACAGACACACTGAATACAGTGTATGTCACCATAATATCACATCAAAATAGCTATGTCGACATGCAAGCAATTTTTTATCAATTATCAAATATCGCCCAAATGTGACTTCCAACATGCTTTAAATATTGATCTTATTTATGTCGGCATGCAACTTACTTATGTTCGCATGCAATTCTTTTATGTTGACATGTTAAATAAATATACAAATATATTAACATTTTCAATATGTCGAAAAGACCACCCCAGCAACAACGTGACATCATTTCAATGAACTTTCCCAAAAATATATGACATTACAAATCCTTATAAATTGGAAAAGTTGTTCCAAAGATCAGAGAAATTTCATTTGCCCTAGAACTGTGCGAAGCAAATGAAGAGGTTCAAGTCACCACACTAATCTATGCACAGGGACCGGAGGTTAACGTGATCCTTACTAGTATCTCAAAATTTCCAGTGCTGATTCGAAAAAGTGACAGTCGTTTAAAGAAGCATTGTCAACGTACTTCATTCCAAAGAAAACGTAAGATTCGATCGAGCCAAGTTCATCCAAAGGAAGCAGGAGGGAAAAGAACTGCTAACGACTTCACCACTGTCCAGGTTCTCATTTCGTTTCATTACTGAACAAGATTATATTTGGAGTTCTACTTGGAGAGAACTTTCAGGTAGAGAGCCATTCAGTTAACTTTAGAATCTTTTGCAAGTTTCTTTCAGGAAAGAGCCAAGGATATGTTTACATGAATTAGCACTGATCTTTTTTTCTAAGTGTGCTGAGATTTTATTTTAGTTATTATTGCATGGACTCATAGAAATGTAAATATGAAATAATATTTCTAACTTGAAAGCTGGTAGATTACGAATGTTGGCAAGCAACAGGAAAGCTTTTTATTCATTTTATTGACGGTATAGGGAACCTCATACTACGAAGTGGTTTATAAGTGCCAAAAGCACAAAACTTAGTAAATTTATTTTTTTTTTTTTAATTTTGATGTCCAGAATTTGAAGCAATGAATGCTTTTTTCTGAAAACTGGTGTTTTGGGGATTCAAAGGTTAGTGTCACTTAACAGAGTAGTAAAAGACTATTAATCACTGAATGCTATGCAAAGGGTTGGTACTCTTATTATTTCTAAATGTTCATATGGGGCGTTTTGAACTTTATCAGAAATCATAAGACATTTATGACGAATTTACATTCATCGAGGTTTGGGTCGATAGTGCAATAACGCAATTATGCGATGTCCATAAATCGATGGTGCGATAGCGCGATGACGAAGATGCAATGACACGATTAAGCAATAATGCGATGGTGCGATAGCGATGACACGATGATTAAATAACGATAAAGCGATGTTCACTCTCCCTATATCGTGCCATCGCGCCAACATCGTTGCATCATCAGCAACGCCTTATCGCACTGTCGTGTTATTTAACATCGTGCCATCCCTTCATCGTCATTCCTCTATCGATCGATCGCGCCATGGACCCTTTAGTCGATGCTCGAAGATGCGATAGTGAACTACATGGCCCTATCCGGATTCCATAATATTTCGTACACTATGTTATGCCTACATTCAGAGATCTTAACAAGAGAATATGATCATAACTAATCAATTCGTATTGATAATCCTTGATTTATATATTTGTCACATTTTCCGTTTTCCGTTCCATTCTCTCTTCATTTCCTTTCCTTCCACGTTATTATGATATCCGAAATTATCGTACCGTGTTTTACTCCTTTAATGTGAAATGTGAGTGGCTTCATAGGTTTTTTTAAGCACAAGTTACTGAAAAATATTGGAACTCCATCAAACTGGAACTATCCCCTCTCTACTCTGACATAATTTAAGTCTACGGCCTGATTTATAATGCACAACCTCACAGCTGGAGCCTTCATATAATATATTGCAGATATTAGCACTAAATCATTTAAGAAATGAAACGTTTTTAAATTACCATGATGTTATGGAAAACATTAGCTCGGCTGACATATTCCATGACGCCCGTTTTGCGTCATGAAATATGTCTGCAGAGCTAATATTGTTCACAACTCCATGTTCACTGAAGCAATGTTGATCTATTGGCATTCTGTGATGTTCTCGAGAATATCAGAGGCAATCTTGACCTGGATAAGGGGACGGCTACTTGTCTTCATTGGGGAAAATGATGACAATTAAATTGGCAGACCTGATTACTGCTCCTTATTTCCAATAAATCACATACAATATACAAATTTGCTTCTAAACTTTTGGCCGTTATCTGGCTACAAAATGCATCGTCTTCAACATTCTCGTAAATTTTTGTCTTGATGCAGTTGTAACGTAATCTTTCAAAGTATTGAAACTCTGCGAGAAAATTTAATTATTATTAAAAAAAGAAAAAGAAAAATGCCATATCTTTATTCATTTTAAGAACTGATATCGTTCTTGAAATTGATGCAAAAATTTTGCTTTGAACTGAAGTACAGTTCTGTGTAAAAATCAAGCAAAATATGCATGTAGGTGATATATGAGGGTTCTCAGAATTTGATGATTTTCCACACATAGTTTTCTCGAGCCTACACTATAAGAAAAATGTTTTGATTCACGGTTACAATGGAAACATGGGTAAAGAAATTTCCTTAGCAACCAGCCAATTTTCAGCTTCGATGGACCAAAAATCTTCTTATCTTTCAGGCTCAAAGTAAATACTAAAAGAATTACATTTTCATTGCTGTCATTCTCAAGATAATGATCTTAACAATTTTCACAATAAAAAATATAGAAATCATATTTAATGATATATCTGTGATAGATATGGGAATGTATGCGTCTTTTGTCCCTTTTTTTTTTTTGCTGATTCAGCATTTTCCTTGATTTAGAATTATTCAATGTCTTATTATCGAGGTTTTGTGCAGCAAAACACATTTCTCCCAGTATTTGATTGGATATTTTAAAAGTATTTAATAATTTTACATTTCTTTTTTATATTTGTAGAATTTTGATCAGATCGTGCTTGCAGTGTGTTTTCTACATATGTGCATGTAGTTTGCGGTAATAATAATTTATGTTTGCTGGAACTGAGGAATGTATCTAAGAAAGACTCAAAATTTCATTCAAACGAATTTTTTGACCAATTAGATGCACAACATATGTGTGTTATTCATGTGACTAAACTTGTGTTAATTCATGACATAAAGGAGATGGGGGAACAAGGCGTGCAAAATGCCTATAGCTTAAAATGTATAAAAGATATATTATTCAACTTGTGAATTTAGTATGTAGAGTAAAGCTCTAATTATTGATG